GAAGCTGGGGATGTTGAAGTAGGGCTTGGGGATGGGGTATAGGCTTCAGTGCTGCTGAACAGGGTACATGCCAGCTGATGAATGATGATGGCTACAGTTCAGCTAGGGGGGAAGTATGGCATCTGTTTGATGGCTGACATTACCAATAAGGCACCAGACCCTGGACAGATGCTTCATGAGGTGGAGAACATACTTCAAGCATCATGTTGAAAAATGTGTTTCTCTTCTTGTCTCATTGGAGTCAGCCTAACTGGATTCTTTAGCTGTCTTTTCTTCCTGGGGCATCTCAGTTTCTGGGAAGCTTGCTTCTGAATTTTGAAAAGCAAGAACTTTTGGTGTGGACCATCACTCTTTCAGCTAGGGTTGGCTTTTGCTGGTTCAGAGCTTGCACTCTTGTCCAAACTCTTTTCTTCCTCAAACTGCCAGCTGCCTCCATGAAAAAAGGAAAAAATAGCAGCATCCTAAGTTCATTTTCTTATTCATTCCATGATGCTATGTTATCTCTTTGTCCTAATGTAGTAAGTAGCTGATCTAATAATCTAACAAATTTTAATTGGCTAACACAAATGTGTTAGAGGAAGACCTGACTTTTTTTTAATAGGGAACTCTATGCTGTCTGTCTTGATCCAACTCCTTGGTGACCTTAGCCATGAGAATTTTAATCTACAGGCTCTGGGAAGACACAAAACTCATGAAGTGTGGGATTGCTCTTGTCTTTTTTTTTTTTTTTTTTTTTTTTTTAGTGCCTGTTTGTTGAAGGACGTAACAGTGACTGTTGAATGACAGAGTGGCTGTTTTTGGAGGTAGAAGCACACAAGTGTCCGAAAAACAGCATCTAAACAGGAGATGAAGTGATTTGCTCTTCACATTAGTTGGCAGGTGCATTCTTTTTCAGAGAGTGAAGATGATACAGAATCCAAGTTAGAGAGGGCAGTTTGTAGGGAGGGAGGTGCTGTTGGGAAAATGAGCTTAGGGTGAAGCCTTTCTAATAGTGTTCTCACAAGCAAGCCTTTCTAATAGTGTTCTCACAAGCATGCATCCAATAAAAGCAATTTGAGAGATAAAATTTAGCCATTCCTTAGCATTATATATATGACAGTGTCATTGACCCTGTTATCATAAACGGCTATGATTTTTCAGGGTGCTGTATAATAGTTGTTTATGCTCTAGGGAAAATGAGAAGACTTGGTATATGTACTTTAGAAAATAAAATATTGGCAATCTATCACAGATTACCATTTTTATTATAAAATTTTAAAATTTAAAAGCCATGTTTCTTTCCACCGTGACTATTATGGACATGCATTGGTTGTTCAATAAGTGTTTGTTGAACCCAATAATAAGCAATTGAACAGATGAGTAAAAGCCTATTGATGAATTTCTTGAGAAAAAATAAATCAAGGATTGGATTAAGATGGAGGAATAGAGGGAGCTTACTGTTGTAGAAGATAGTATGAAAAAAGTGGAGAGAGTACAGTCTCAAGGAAGAGTTAGGGAAAAAATGGCAGAGGAAACTCCACACAAATTAGAGGGACACTGTGGACCATGTGCAGGGTGTGGACATGCACAACTCAGAAACCCAGCAGCCAAGAACCTCAGCAGCATCTCAGGAAGTGAGACCAGACTGGAGCAACCCAAGCCACTGGTGATAAAGTTGCAGAAAGATCCTGGTGGGAATCCAGCTAGGAGCCCTAGGTAGGACAGTGTACCTGCCATGTTTCTCTCTCCCTGACCACCCTGAAACTGGCATTCTGTAACAAGCTGATAGAGAGCAGGCATCATTTTGGACATATGTAATAGATGCACCAGTGTCTGCACACCCAGCAAACAGCAGAGCAGAGAAACTTGAATTTGATGGGGAGAACTGATGGGGGGCTGGGTGCTCATGACTGTGGGAGGCTTGTGTGCTGGGACTGTGAGAACACTGATGCTGTGTGGGAGGGCTCAGGGTGTGGCTGGGACTTTGGGCAGTCACTGTGGGAAGTTGCATGTACTCAGGGCTCGCTGATTTTCTGGTGAGGATCACTGCATATCAGTCTCCCACATATGTGCCAGGGGTCAGAATATGTGTGGAGTCCACTGCTGCTTTCCCAGGAGCATTACTATAACTGGTTTGGAAGTATAGCAGCCAGAATTCAAATCAGCACTCATATAGAATCCCAGTATTGTAGGAGATGGCTCTAACCCATTATTAAACAACAGCTCCCTCTCCTGTCTTCTGTGGTGAACTATTTCTAACATGCTTACTATTTTAGAATTAAGTGTTGTTTTGTTGGCATCTTATGTATTGCACTATAAAATTTAATTTATCAGGTACATTTTTCCTTTTTCTTTTTTTAAAAAAGATTTATTTATTTACTTGAAAGTCAGAGTTACACAGAGCCAGAAGGAGAGGCAGAGAGAGATAGATCTTTCAACTGCTAATTCACTGCCCAGTTGGCTGCAATGGCCAGAACTGTGCCTATCCAAAGCCAGGAGCCAAGCATTTCCTCCAGATCTCCAATGAGGGTGCAGGGGCCCAAGGATTTGGGCCATCTACTATTGTTTTCCCAGGCTGTAGCAGAGAGCTGAATCAGAAGTTGAGTAACTGCTACTCAAACTGGTGCATATATGTGATGCTGGTACTCTAGACAGAAGCTTTACCCACTATGCCACAGAGCTGGTCTCATAGTATATTTTTCAAGGATTTTTTTTTTGCTTTGACTTTCATTCTTTAAACAGCATTTTTTTTTTAACTTTTATTTAATGAATATAGATTTCCAAAGTACAGCTTATGGACTACATTTGCTTCCCCCACCCCCACCCCCGATGACTTCCCTCCCACCCGCAACCCTCCCCTTTCCCACTCTCTTTCCCATTCATATCAAGATTCATTTTCAATTTTCTATATATACAGAAGATCAGTTTAGTATACATTAAGTAAAGATTTCAACAGTTTGCACCCACATAGAAACACAAAGTGAAATATACTGTTTGAGTACTCATTATAGCATTAAATCTCAATGTACAGCACATTAAGGACAGAGATCCTACATGAGGAGTAAGTTCACAGTGACTCCTGTTGTTGACTTTACAAATTTGCACTCCTGTTTATGGCATCAGTAATCTCCCTATGCTCCAGTCATGAGTTTCCAAGGCTATGGAAGCCTTTTGAGTTCTCCGACTCTTATCTTATTTAGACAGTCATAGTCAAAGTGGAGGTTCTCTCCTCCCTTCAGAGAAAGGTACCTCCTTCTTTGAAGACCTTTTTTTTCCACTGGGATCTCACTCACAGAGATCTTTCATTTAGTTTTTTTTTTTTTTTTTTTTTTTTTTTTTGCCAGAGTGTCTTGGCTTTCCATGCCTGAAATACTCTCACGGGCTTTTCAGCCGGATCCACATGCCTTAAGGGCTGATTCTGAGGCCAGAGTGCTGTTAAACAGCATTTTGAAAAGAATTTTTTGGGGCCATGCTGTGGCATAGTGGGTAAAGCTGCTGCCTGCAGTGCCGGCATTCCATATGGGTATGACTTTGAGTCCTGGCTGCTCCACTTCTGATCAAGCTCACTGCTATAGCCAGGGAAAGCAGTAGAAGATGGCCCAAGTGCTTGGATTCCTGCACCCACATGGGAAATTCAGAAGAATCTATTGGCTCCTGACTTCAGATCAGCCCAGCTCTGGTCATTGTGGCCATCTGGGGAGTGAACCAGCAGATGGATGATCTCTCTCTCTGCATCTGCCACTCTGTAATTCTGCCTTTCAAATAAATAAATAAGTCTTGAAGAAAAGAAGTTTTAGACTTTGATTAAGTGTAAATTATCCCTGTACTCAATTATAGATTTTAATTTTTTCTTGTATCTAGGAAATCTTTGCCTAACTTAAAGTAAAAAAAAAATTTCTTCTATGATTTTTTTTCCTGGAAGTATTGTAGTTTCCAGTACTACAGTTAGATCTGTGGCATATTTTCAATTTTGTAAATAGAAGCTATTTTATTGGAAATTAGTATCTCATTGTGCTAACACCAAGTGTTGAAAATGCTATACTTTCTCCCCTGCACTGCAATAGTGCCTATGTAGAAAACCTGTTCACTGTGTTTGGATCTTCTCTGGAACCTCTTTTGTGTTCCAGTCATCTGGCTTTCTGTATGACAACAGCACACTTTAGGTTAGTATAAATTTATAACACTTAAAAATCATCCCTTTGATTATATTATTTTTCAGAGTTATTTTGGCTATCCTAGATTCTTTGCATTTTCATATGCACTTATATCAGCTTGTTACTTTAAAAATAACCAGGTTGCTAAATGAAAGATCTCTGTGAGTGAGATCCCAGCAGAAAGAATGGGCCATCAAAGGAGATACCATTCTCTGAAGGGAGGAGAGAACTTCCACTATGATTATGGCCTTATCTAAATAAGATCAGAATTTGTGAACTCAAGAGGCTTCCATAGCCTTGGCAGCTGGAGATAAGAGCCTTGGGTGATTACTGACATCATAAATAAGACTGTCAATTGTTAAATCAACAATGGGAATCACTGTGCACCTGCTTCCCATGTAGGATCTCTGTCCTCAATGTGTTGTACTATGTGAATTAATGGTAAAACTACTACTCAGGCTGGCGCCATGGCTCACTGGGCTGATCCTCTGCCTGTGGCACCAGCACACTGGGTTCTAGTCCCAGTTGGGGTGCCGGTGCTGTCCCAGTTGCTCCTCTTCCAGTCCAGGTCTCTGCTGTGGCCCAGGAAGGCAGTGGAGGATGCCCAAGTGCTTGGGCCCTGCACCCACATGGGAGACCAGGAGGAAGTACATGGCTCCTGGCTTTGGATTGCAGCAGTGGACTGGCTGTAATGGTCATTTAGGGGGTGAACCAATGGAAAGAAGTCCTTTCTCTGTCTCTCTCTCTCTCACTGTCTAACTCTGCCTGTCCCCCCCCCCCAAAAAAAAATCAGGCAGACTTTATCTTTTTGTTTTTTTTTTAAAGATTTTATTTATTTATTTGACAGGTAGAGTTACAGAGAAAAAGAGAGACAGAGAGAAAGATCTTCCATCTGCTGGTCACTCCCCAAATGGCCAGAACTGGGCCAATCCAAAGCCAGGAGCTTCATTCCGAGTCTCCCACCTGGGTGCAGGGGCCCAAGGACTTGGGCCATCTTCTACTGCTTTCCCAGGCCAAAGGAGAGAGCTGGATGAAAAGTGCAGCAGCAGGGACTCAAACTGGTGCCCACATGGAATTATGGCACTGTAGGCAGAGGCTTAGGCCACTACACCACAGTGCCAGGTCCCAGACTTTATCTTGAAACTTAACTTTACTCTGACTGAAGTTATCCCATCTCACAGATATTCATCTGCATGTTCAGGCTGTTGAAACAGGATGTGGTATAAAATGCTAATGGACCACATGATTTGTGAGCTCATTTCCTTTAGCAATAAAATTTTTCATATGATATGTTATGCCCACTTAGATTGTCCCCAAAGACCACCAAGGAGCCTATACTGTTGTAAAACACATGAGTTTTATTGCAGGTCTGGGCTTGGGCGATCAACTGTCATTGATGCCACGGGTCTGGTTGAAAGCCCCAACTTCAGTGAATGGGGTTTTTATAGGGTTTTCAGAGACAATCTATGCATTCTAGCACCATTCAGCAAATCATCTCTTCCATGGGAAATTCAAAGAACATCTCTTAAAATTGATTAGTGCATCCAGCAGCAGGAATGGACCTATTAAAAGTGGTGGGATGGCTTCGGGGTTGATGCCTTTTAAAATGATTGGCTAAAGTATAGGGTCTGAGCCACTAGGGTATATGTGCCAAACTGCAGGATCTCAGGATATAATCAGTTACCTTAAGTGCCTGAAAAGACACCTGAAACTTTAGGTATCTCCCTGCTATCTGATGATTGGCTGTTGCTAGGTGGGGCTTATTGCAAGGGGAGTTCATTTATTTTTTCTTTCATGAGCTTCAGGGTTCAGGGCTCGGTCAGGCCCGAGTTACAAGATGGAGGCCTATTCTAAAATAGCTGTGCCTTGATCCAGGCTCAGGTCTCTCAGAGATACAACACAGTTTACTCATACATTCACCTATTGAAGAATATCCTGTTTCAAAATTTAGTTTGATTTTTATATTACTGCTCATGTGGAAATTTGATTTCTTCAATCATTGCAGTTGGATAATGTTTGCATTTTGGATTAGTCCGGATGTATTCTTCCTCTTTGTCTTTTGAAAAGTGTGTAGAATTACATTGATTTCTCCCACTTTTTCTCCAGTTTTATTGACGTCTTCATCCTGTCACAATGAAATTGATTATGAAAACAGGCTGGTGTTCAGACATCAGGACAGACAAGTGCTTTGGGGAGCTTGGCTCAGGGGCAGTGGTGTGGCTTCTTTATGTTGACACTATCCTTGCTGACAGAGGCCATGCCGTAAACTGAGCAGTGCTGTGGGGCCTGCTTCACCATATCTGAGATTAATTTTAGGCAGCCAACGCATGAGCCAAAATTTGCAAGGAGCTAAGGCCTCACAGCCAGCATGATTCACGTAGTAACCAGTCCTGAAGTGAGCAATCCTCTGCCTGCAACAGGAAGTCCACCAGAGGCACACTCACTGTCCTCTGTGAGACATGGGGAACTCCTGGCCACACTGCCATGGGTCCTTGCCCCTTGTAGAGACTCCAGCTCCAGGCTCCACCTGTCACTGTGGGTCTGTCCTTGTTCTCTGCAGTGATGCTGGCAACCCAGTTTCCTGTAACAGAGAATGGGGAGCCATGCCAGGGTCATGCTGAAGTCAAGGTGGTCAAAGTCAGAGGGGCCTGTGGGTCCATACAGAAGGTGCTGCAGATCCTCAGGCTAAGTTTTACTGATTTTCAAGTGCAAATGATCTATGGCCTGACCAGAATCACTCCATTTTGTCCCTGATTGTCCTCTATTTTTTTCTAACCAGTCCCACAACTGCTAGCTACTCAAAACTAATCTTCTGAGAGGTTTTTTGTAAGTTTATTTACATTAAGTACTGGGAAACTTGTTAATATCCCCAAGATAAGCATAATGTTGCTTGCTCTAGCTCCTGTAACAAATGCTTGGCTTTGTAATTAACTTCAACAAGATATGGTTTTGGCCTTTAGAAGCTTAACTTTGAGCTCCTTCAGGGCAGTATGATTTGGAGAGCACACGCCCCTGTGCAGCCACTGGCTTTTAGAAATAAAAGACTCCATAATTAGGCCCTGAGACTTCAGCACTTATTAATATTTCTGAAATTAATAATCTGTGTGGGTTCTTGCCATGAATTCAGAGACAAATTCTGAATACTGGCTCAAATAGACCAGATGATAAGCTGAGTTTTTAAGCTTTTATTCAGTGAGAGAAACACATAGGAGAGTGAGGGCTCTATCTAAAGGAGAAAGTTTGGAAATTAAGTAGGGGCCATACCAAGCAGGGAGCAGGCCAAGAGCTGTGGACTTGTCCTGTGAGGCCCACACCATCGGGGAGGGTGAGGCAATGGTGTTCTTCCACAGGAAGCACCAGGGACAGGCTTCAGTGAACATGTCCACCTTTATTAATGACCATGTACACTTTCAAAGGGCAGGCAGAAGGGGCATAACTAATTCAGGGCAACCCTAACTCTATAGGATAGAACCAACACTGGCATCAATATGCATCTCCAATTAGCTTGAAGGTCTCATAGTTAGGGTAGCTTTCCAGGTGGGCCTGAAGCACCCCCAGCAACAGTTTACCTAATTGGCAGAAGGTGGGGGTGGGAGAAAATGTGCCTGAGGCTCCCACCTCCCACCATCAGTCAGGCTAGCCACATGGGTTAGGCAGAAAGTCTCACAGGATCACCCACATCTCCTCCCTTTGTTTTAGGGCAAGTGTGACTCTGCTTAGTGTGGCAGGGCAACAAGCCGCAGCCCACAATAAGCTTTAAATTAAATTGAATAATGCCTAGCACAGGGATTAAGGGCAGGGAGGAAAAGAAGGGCAAAGGGAAAAAGGCCAGGCCCACCATGTTTCAGGCCTTTGTAATTGGCAGGCGATGCACAGGTATGGGAAAGCAGGGGCATGAGATCACACAGGGGCTAGGGACAGTGTGATGAAGGCGTAGCCTTCCAGTTCTCAAGTCTAATGATATATGACTTCCTGCATCATCCCCCTTCAGAGACTCCATTCCCTTAATCCTAGGGATGTTGAAGGGTGTAGAATCATCACATCTTGTATAGCTGCTTCCTGTTTATGAGGGATGTAGTTCAGGGCCTGCCTGTCCTCAGTCTGGAAGTCTTTGCCTATCTCATCTAACAAATTCTCTTTGTGAGCTGGAGCAATCTTGGTCACCACCAATGTCTGTGTCCCCTGCATGGTCAGTGACTCCCAGAAGTTGTTGAGTTCTGGAACATATAAGTTTGTAAATTCATATGAGCAAAACTGGAACATGACCAATTGTAAGTGGAGTACCCCTTTAAGATGAAAAGACCACATCCTACAGACTCCCAGATAGTGGATGGTGATACATTATAAACCCATTTAGCTTGAGTATAGAGAATTATATTAGAAGAACACAATAGGAGTTTTATTGTTAATAACAGAGAGAATCAAAGAGGCAGGTACACCATGCTTGCCTTCAGGTGCAGCACTCTTGATGTGAGGAAAGCAAAGGCTTTACTTTTCCTTTTTGCTTAAGATCTCTGGCTTACAGGAATAATCAGGCATGTCTTTTGAGTACACCTGTGAGGACTTGCGAGGTAGACATTAATCCTAATTTTACTGAGGTAGTCATGTTCAGTAGCACCTGGTAAGGTCCCTTCCATTTAAGCTGTAGCCCATCTGAAGAGGATCTTTCTATGAATGGCTTGTTCAGGGAAAGGTGCTGAAGTTGGTTTGTAGGGGGTCAGCTTTCAGAGACTGGGTCCAGGGTTTGGCATTTCAGGTTGCTATCCACACAGGCTGCAGAGTGATCTCTGGAAAGCACAAGCAAAACCTTTGCCCATCATTATGAGGGGATCAGGCCCCTTCCATTGTTGGGTGGTTGGGTCCCTCCATCAAACCAGAGGCAATTGGGTTGCACCTGTGAAAGGTCTCCAGTGTCTCACTGCTGGTGGCTCTCCAGGGGGTGAGACCTGTAAGAACTTTACGGTGAAAGGAGCAAAGTTAACACACTCATAGTGGGGGTACCATACTCTCCCCTCTGTTTTTTAAGCATAATCTTAAGGTCCTGCATGGGAAGTTAATGCACAGTGACTCCTATGGTCATTGCATTCATGAAGTTTCTCCCTGATGTGAATTCTGTGGTGTGATATGAGCTATGATTTATAACATATGATTTATAAAGGCTTTTCCACACTTATTAGATTAATAAGGTTTCTGCCCTGTGTGAATTGTTTTGATGTGAGTATAATTTATAGAAAAAGGCTTTTCCATGGTCATTACATTTATGAGGTTTCTCCCCTATGTGAATACGCTGGTGTATGATGAGTTGTGACTTTTGTCCAAAGGCTTTTCCACAGTCATTACATTTATGAGGTTTCTCTCCTGTGTGAATTCGCTGATGTTTCCTGAGAACTGACTTTTGTCCAAAGGCTTTTCCACAGTCATTACATTTATGAGGTTTCTCCCCTGTGTGAATTCGCTGGTGTATGAGGAGGGCTGACTTGTGTCCAAAGGCTTTTCCACAGTCATTACATTTATGAGGTTTCTCCCCTGTATGAATTCGCTGATGTATCATGAGGTTTGACTTGTGTCCAAAGGCTTTTCCACAGTCATTACATTTATGAGGTTTCTCTCCTGTGTGAATTCGCTGGTGTATGAGGAGGGCTGACTTGTGTCCAAAGGCTTTTCCACAGTCATTACATTTATGAGGTTTCTCCCCTGTGTGAATTCGCTGGTGTACAATGAGGTCTGACTTTCGTCCAAAGGCTTTTCCACAGTCATTACATTTATGAGGTTTCTCCCCTGTGTGAATTCGCTGATGTTTCCTGAGAACTGACTTGTGTCCGAAGGCTTTTCCACAGTCATTACATTTATGAGGTTTCTCCCCTGTGTGAATTCGCTGGTGTATGAGGAGGGCTGACTTGTGTCCAAAGGCTTTTCCACAGTCATTACATTTATGAGGTTTCTCCCCAGTGTGAATTCGCTGATGTTTCCGGAGGCCTGCCTTGTGTCCAAAGGCTTTTCCACAGTCATTACATTTATGAGGTTTCTCCCCTGTGTGAATACGCTGATGTATGATGAGTTGTGACTTTTGTCCAAAGGCTTTTCCACAGTCATTACATTTATGAGGTTTCTCCCCTGTGTGAATTTGCTGATGTATTATGAGTTGTGACTTTTGTCCAAAGGCTTTTCCACAGTCATTACATTTATGAGGTTTCTCCCCTGTGTGAATTCGCTGATGTATTATGAGTTGTGACTTTTGTCCAAAGGCTTTTCCACAGTCATTACATTTATGAGGTTTCTCCCCTGTGTGAATTCGCTGGTGTATGATGAGGCTTGACTTGTGTCCAAAGGCTTTTCCACAGTCATTACATTTATGAGGTTTCTCCCCTGTGTGAATTCGCTGGTGTATGAGGAGGGCTGACTTGTGTCCAAAGGCTTTTCCACAGTCATTACATTTATGAGGTTTCTCCCCTGTGTGAATTCGCTGGTGTACAATGAGGTTTGACTTTCGTCCAAAGGCTTTTCCACAGTCATTACATTTATGAGGTTTCTCCCCTGTGTGAATTCGCTGATGTTTCCTGAGAACTGACTTGTGTCCGAAGGCTTTTCCACAGTCATTACATTTATGAGGTTTCTCCCCTGTGTGAATTCGCTGGTGTATGAGTAGCTCTGACTTTTGTCCAAAGGCTTTTCCACAGTCATTACATTTATGAGGTTTCTCCCCAGTGTGAATTCGCTGATGTTTCCGGAGGCCTGCCTTGTGTCCAAAGGCTTTTCCACAGTCATTACATTTATGAGGTTTCTCCCCTGTGTGAATTCGCTGATGTATGATGAGTTGTGACTTTTGTCCAAAGGCTTTTCCACAGTCATTACATTTATGAGGTTTCTCCCCTGTGTGAATTTGCTGATGTATTATGAGTTGTGACTTTTGTCCAAAGGCTTTTCCACAGTCATTACATTTATGAGGTTTCTCCCCTGTGTGAATTCGCTGGTGTACAATAAGGTCTGACTTTCGTCCAAAGGCTTTTCCACAGTCATTACATTTATGAGGTTTCTCTCCTGTGTGAATTCGCTGGTGTATGATGAGGTTTGACTTTTGTCCAAAGGCTTTTCCACAGTCATTACATTTATGAGGTTTCTCCCCTGTGTGAATTTGCTGATGTATGAGGAGGGCTGACTTGTGTCCAAAGGCTTTTCCACAGTCATTACATTTATGAGGTTTCTCTCCTGTGTGAATTCGCTGGTGTATGATGAGGCTTGACTTGTGTCCAAAGGCTTTTCCACAGTCATTACATTTATGAGGTTTATCCCCTGTGTGAATTCGCTGGTGTATGAGGAGGGCTGACTTGTGTCCAAAGGCTTTTCCACAGTCATTACATTTATGAGGTTTCTCCCCTGTATGAATTCGCTGATGTATAATGAGGTTTGACTTGTGTCCAAAGGCGTTTCCACAGTCATTACATTTATGAGGTTTCTCCCCTGTGTGAATTCGCTGGTGTACAATGAGGTCTGACTTGTGTCCAAAGGCTTTTCCACAGTCATTACATTTATGAGGTCTCTCCCCTGTGTGAATTTTCTGGTGTACTATGAGGTCTGACTTCCACAGAAAGCCTTTTCCACATTGAAGGCATTTATAAAGTTTCTCTCCTGTGTGAATTCGCTGATGGTTTATGAGGTATGACTTTTGTGTAAAGGCTTTTCCACAGTCACTACATTCATGAGGTTTCTCCCCTGTGTGAATTTGCTGATGTTTCCTGAGGACTGAATTTTGTCCAAAGGCTTTTTCAAAGTCATTACATTCAGAAGGTGAATTAAAACTGAGTGATTTTCCACAAGGTTTACATGTGTAAAGTTTTTCCCTTGTATTTAGTCTCTGGTTTATTGTAAGATGTGACTGGTGAATGACAGGTTCAACATACATAATGTACTTATAAAATTTCTTTCTTGTGTGAGTTTGTTGATGCATATTGAGGCTAGAATTTTCATGGATAGCTTTTTCTATTTGCTTTGCTTTTCCAAAAGTGACAGTTGACTTATTACAGTTTTCTGCCATATGAACCCTCTCAGATTTACAGAACATCTTTCTTGTGAAGACTTTTGCTTGTCCAGTGGGCCCAAATGGCTGCTTCATGATGTGAATATTATCAAGCTGATTAAGAGGCTCACAGAACTGGAGAGATTTTCCAGGTATCTTAGTGTTATCAAATTTCTCTCCAGCCTGTAGTTGATCAGGCCCACTGGGGGGATACACAGTGTGACATTTATTGCATTCCTCAGGCTTCAATCCTGAATAGATTCCCTTTTTAATAATCAGTGTTGGAACATGGCTTGAATTTAAACTAAGTGTTTTTCTTAATTCAATTCTCTTGAGAGCTGATGTCTTGTTATTTTTCATAAAATCCTGATTCAGATTTTTGTCCTGACTTTCCTGGTTGATCCTAATCAGGTCATCCCTTTTCATGACCACTGAAATGAGAAAAAAGCAATCATGTCACTGAATCACATGTAACTGTTTCTCCTGGCATACTCATGTAAAGGGAATGAAGTTACTTGTTATCCAAGTGGCATAAGATTTTCACAAAATCAGTATGAGGTACTTATTTGTGACCATTATGTTTTTCTCCTTAATACATTAATATACCATGAGGTTTCCCAATGTTCAAACATGATCCTTTTTACTATGGGAATTTGTTAAGGATGGTAGAATGACTTTTGTGCTGATGTGTGGGATGCCTGCATCTCAAAACAGTGTCGGTTTGAGCCCCGGCTACTCTGCTTTCAGTACAGCTCTCTGCCTATGTAAACTGGAAGGAAGCAGATAATGGTTCATGTGCCTGGGAACCTGTGAGAAACCAGGGAAGACTAGAGGGATTCTAGAGTTTTGGCTTCAGACTAGTTAGACCTAAGTGTTGCAGGCATCTGGGAAGTGAGCTAATAGAGGACCTCTTTCTCTCTCTTTCTCCTCTCACTATCACTCTGCCTTTCACAAAGATGAAATAACTATAAAATATTTTAAAGAATGGGCAAATATTTAATACAAATATTCACCCACTACCTAGCAACCATTTTTTCCCCTGTGCTTTTTCTCCAGTTTATTTTTATAAAAATTGTGTGCTTTTTGCTTCTCTGATATCTCAACCATAAACATGAAAAAGTTTCACTGATCATTTACTTGCAGGTGGAGAAGAGTGAAATGTGCCTGTACTTTAAGCAGGACAACATTTAAGGAGTAGGATTTGAATCTATGAGTGTCTCATGCTCAGTCTTCCTAGGTAAACATCATTTGTGGGATTTTTCAAATGAAAAATGACTTTGTCTCTACTCTATGACAGCTTCCCCAAATTCCTAAGGACACCCAACACCTTCAGCTTCTCAGAAGTACAACAGGTACAGAAAATTCCCAATATACCACTTTAGTTAAACACTCCCAATCAGTTTGAAGAATTTGTTTCTGCAAATCGGGATGTGCTCATCTTCTTTGAAAAGTGTTTTCTAACTCATTCTGAAATCATCAGTGCTGGTTACCTCCTCTAAATTCTTTCTAGAAACATTCCTGTGTGATAATTTGAATTTCAGGAGACTTTTGATAAGTTGCCTCCTATTTCCCTGAAAGCTTCATTTCCTATGCTTTTCTTATCTTTTTATTTGCTTATTTTCAATGATACTGAAAAATAAGAGAGAAATCATACTTCAAACTCCACCCTTAAAGAAATCTGAGTCACTCAACATAACCCCATGAGGCTACTTGACCTTGGGTCTCAAAATCTCATTACTTTCTTGGTGAGTCTAGGATCACTTATTTTCATGTTTAATTTAAGTTCATCCTTAGTTTAGGATTTCCTTTTTTTCAAAGATTTACTTTATTTATTTGAAAGCTAGAATTATAGAGAGACAGAGAGAAGTCTTCCATCTGCTGGTTCACTTCCCATATGGGCACAATAACCAATGCTGGGCCAAAATGAAGTTAGGAGCCAGGAGTGTCTTTCTTGTCTCCCACATGGGTACAGGGGGCCAAAGACTTGGGCAACCTCTGCTCTTTTCTCAGGTGCATTAGCAGAGAGCTGGATTAGAAGAGGACTAGCTGGGACTTGAACTGGCACCAATATGCAAAGCTACTGTTGCAGGCTGGAGTTTTAACACACTGTACCACAGTGTCATTCCTAGCTTCATAATTTCTGATGTCACAGCACAGAGGCTTACTCATGACCATGTTTTATTTTTAAAGATTTATTTATTTATTTGAAAGTCAGAGTTACACAGAGAGAGGAGAGGCAAAGAGAGAGTAAGGTCTTCCAACCAATGGTTCACTCCCCAGTTGGCCACAATGGCCAGAACTGTGCTGATCTGAAGCCAGGAGCCAGGAGCTGCTTCTGGGTCTCCCTCTGGTGCAGAGGACCAAGGACTTGGACCATCTTCTACTGCTTTCCCAGGCCATAGCCGAGAGCTGGATTGGAAGTGGAGCAACTGGGACCCAAACTGGTGCCCATATGGGATGCTGGTGCTTCATGCTAGGGTGTTAATTCACTGTGCCATAGCGCCAGCCACATGACCATCTTTTAACATTTACTTATTTGCTTAGTTGAGAGTCAGAGAGACAGAATGAGAGATAAAGACAGACTGAAAAAGAGGTTTGCCAACTGTAGGCTCACTCTTCAAATGTTTCCAACAGACTATAATTTTCTTATTTATTTGAGAGGCACAGAGGAAAAAAAAGAAAGAGACTAAGAAAGAGAGAGTTCACATTTATTGATTCAGTCCTGAGCAAGTTCTATGCCTGGGCAAAATCATGAGTGGGAACGCAATCTGAGCAATGAGTTAGAAATAAGTTTCTGGGGGCTGGCATTGTGGCATACCAGGTAAAGCCATGACCTGCAGTGCCAACATCACTTATAGGCACCAGTTTAAGTCCTAGGTGCTCCACTTCTGATCCAGCACTCTGCTATGGCCTGGGAAAGCAGTAGAAGATGGCCCAAGTACTTGGACCCCTGTACCCATATGGGAGACCTGGAAGAAGCTCCTGGCTCCTAGCTTCAGATCAGTACAGCCCCAGCCACGACAGCCAATTGGGAAGTGAACCAGTGGATGGAAGACCTCTCTTTCTCTCTCTGCCTCTCCTTCTTCTCTCTCTCTCTCTGACTTTCAAATAAATAAATAAATCTTTTTAAAAAAAAAAACAGAAACAGGCTGGTGTGGTGGCTCAATAGGCTAATCCTCTGCCTGCGGCACTGGCACACCAGGTTCTAGTCCCAGTCGGGGTGCTGGATTTTGTCCCAGTGGCCCCTCTTCCAGGCCAGCTCTCTGCTGTGGCCCAGGAGTGCAGTGGAGGATGGCCCAGGTCCTTCGGCCCTGCACCCACATGGGAGACCAGGAGAAGCACCTGGCTCCTGGCTTTGGATCAGCATGGTGTGCCAGCCACAGCACACTGGCCATAGTGGCCATTGGAGGGTGAACCAACGGCAAAAGGAAGACCTTTCTCTCTGTCTCTCTCTCTCACTGTCCACTCTGCCTGTCAAAAAAAAAAAAAAAAAAAAAAAAAAAAAAAACCAAAAACAAACAGAAAAATTAATCCTAAAAAAAAAATAAGTTTCTGTATGTTGCCTAATTAACAAGCACTGAAGGAACTAATAAGTGCATGAAGGAAAAGGTATGAAAGTGTGGAGAAGGACAAGTTAGAATTGGGGGAATGTATCAAACCTAGATAAAAGCCTTAGTAACATCAGAAAATGACTGGATTTTTTTTTTTAATCAAAGGACATCTTCACTAAGAACAAAAATTAGAAAGATATTGGTATCTCTAAATGCCTGTGTCTGATGCACAAAACCAGCTGTCATCAGGAGTAAGGCTTGAGAAAAATTCATGGAAAGAACACCAGTCAACATCTGCACACTTTCTGCCTTGGCCTCCCTGTCTCTTATGTGCAGACTGACCTGAAAGGCTCAGATTCAAGCATTCATCCACGATCCATGGCTCTTCTCCTCGCTCCAATTTGAAGATCAAGTCAGGTTTGGTAATGCAGTGCCCTATTAATGGAAACAAAGTAAGACTTTGTAAAATCACTATCTTGGGTTATTTAAAGGACTACAGCTTGGTTCAGGAGCTATGCAACAAATGTTCCAATTTGAATCTTTTGTTAGATGGTAGATATTCAGATTATTCATGGACTCAAATTCTAATCCTGCCCAATATTAAACATTATAAAGTGTTTCCTTATTTGTCAAATAGCAAGAAAATGTTATCATTGGGCATGTGATGGGTGTCACTCACCCAAGGAGAACAGGCTGCTGTAGGTCTCCAGCATCACATCTCTGTACAGGATTTTCTGAGCATTGTTCATTTTCTGCCATTCTTCCCACGTAAAGTACACAGCCAGGTCTTCAAATGCTGTCATCACCTATAATAATACACTTCCAGTCAACATGTTAACTCTGTCACAAAATAAACACTGACAGTTGTGTATGGATATGAAGGAAAAAAGGAAGGATATGGTTTCACATTAGACTTGTTGAGTGTTTAGAAAGCTACACAGAGCATTCAACAGAGTCAAACCCATGATCTACAGGCTGTGAGACATGCCCAAGCTGGAGGGAACCAGGAGGTTCAAATCACAAAGGCCACATCTGTCAAGGGGAATTGCACAGCAGGCTAGAAGAGGGGCAATACTGACTCTTGACTGGGAAATGTTAAGGAGAAGTATGTAGAAGCATTGAGAAAAAAGGCAAGAAACCGTCAGTGAAACTACGATGGGAATGAACAGAAAACAATTTCCAGGAAAACACCATGCATATCATTTCCAATATGTCAGAGAAAAAATATATTAAAAGACAGGGCAGACATTTAGCTTAGTGTTGTTTATGATGCCACCTCAGAGTGTCTATGATTTCCAATGCCAGCTCTAGTTTCTAGCTCCCAGATAATGCAAACCTGGGGAAGCAATGGTGATGTCACCAATGAAGGAGGCCTAGATTCCATTCCCCAATCCTGGCTTCAGTCCTGCCCCACCTGTTTGGTATGGTTATCTAGGAAGTGAATTAAAGTATCAAAGTTCTCTATCTCTCAGTCCATCAACTTTTTTCTCTATCAAGCTAATAAATATTTTTTTAAGTAAAAGAGAAAATACAGGTAAGACAAAGAATACAAATTAGCTTTTGCCCTTGTCTATGATTATTCTACTGATAAACAATTGAAATAACATTATACCTAATTAAAGTGAAAGCAATGGAAATACTTGCCCAAAGCATTCAAATGATAAACATTTGAAATAACATTATACATAATTAAATGAAAGCAATGGAATTATTTGCCCAAAAAGAGAACCTGGGAATGTCTGCAGTACAATCTGCATTTGTGACTCACTGAGAAAAATGCTTAGAGATTCGTTTCAGAACCTGCAATAGTCACCAGAATTGTGATCCAGCAGGCTAAGCCTCCACCATCAATGCTGGCATCCCATGTAAACAGAGGACTTGAGTCCTTGCTGCTCCAATTCCAATCTAGTTCCCTGCTAACCTGATTGAAAGAGCAGTGAAAATGGCCTGAGTATTTGGACCCTTCCACCAATGTGGGAGACCCATGGAGTCCCAGGCTCCTGGCTTTGGCCTGGCCCAGTCCCAGCCATTGTGGGCATTTGGGGAATGAACACTAGAAAGAAGATATATCCTTTTGTCTCCCTGGCAGGAGTTCAAAGAAAACTCTAGAGGCCAACGCTGTGGCATAATGGGTAAAGCTGCTGCCTTCAGTGCCAGCATTCCATATGGGGTCTGGTTTGAGTACTGCCTCCTCAACATACAATCTAGCTTTCTGCTATGTCCTGAGAAAGCAGTGGAACATGGTCCAAGTCCCTGGGCCACTGCACCTGCATGGGAGACCCAGAAGCTCTTGGGTCTTGGCTTTGGATTGGCTGAGCTCCGGCCTTTGCAGTAATTTGGAAGGTGAGCCAGCAGATAGAAGACTTTCTCTCTCTGCAACTCTTTCAATAAATAAATGAAATCTTTAAAAAAAAAAAAAACCCTCTGGTTTCCTTCTGCACTGAACAGTGGGGAAAAAAAGGATATAATAGAATGAATAAAGAATAATAAATACATTAACCAAGAAAACATCAGCTTCACTGTGGAGGAATAATTCTGTAAAAATAGAAATATATAGGAAAATGCATCCACCTATATTAAGTGGCACAGATTAAACAGAAGTTATCATTGGTTTAACAAAAGCATTATCTACAAATTTTGTAAAATAATAATGTAAAAGTAAAAAGAAAAGTTGAGTGTTCAAATGAATAAGGTTATCAGAGATAAACATTATGTTGTTATTAAAGTTTATACTAAAGAAAGTTAACAAATACACATAATGTATATTTAATGCAGTGCACTTTACCAGTAATGATTCCAAGTAGCACCTTTCCCTGTATTCATCCCTTCACAAAACCCTGGATTGGGGCTGGCACTGTGGCCTAGTGGGTAAAACTGCCACCTGCAGACTGGCATCCCATATAGGCACTGGTTTGATTCCCAGCTGCCCCACTTCTGATCCAGCTTTCTGCTATGGCCTGGGAAAGCAGTAGAAGATGGCCCAAGTCCTTGGGCCCCTGTACCCATGTGGAAGACCCAGAAGAATCTCCTGGACCCTGGCTTTGGATTGGCACAACTCTGGCCATTGCAGCCAACTGGGGACTGAACCAGCAGATGGAAGAGCTCTCTATCTCTCTCTCTGCCTCTCCCTCTCTCTGTGTGTAACTCTTTCAAATGAATAAATAAATCTTTTTGAAAAAGACCATGAATTTCACCATTTCAATTGATTTACCCCATGAGATACCAGTAAATGTGATAGAAATAGACAATTTGTTAAAATATTTATTTATATGAAAGAGTTACACAAAGAGAGAAGGAGAGGCAGAGAAAAGAGAGAGAGAGAGAGAGAGAGAGAGAGAGAGAAGGAGGAATAAAGAGAGGTCTTCGAACTGCAGGTTCACTCCCCAGATGGCTGCAATGGCTGGAGCTGTGTAGATCCAAAGATATGAACCAGGAGCTTCTTTCAGGTCTCCCACAAGGGAGCAGGGGCCAAAGGACTTGAGCCATCTTCTACTGTTTTTCCCAGGCTGTAGCAAAGAGCTGGATCAGAAGTGGAGCAGCCGAGTCATGAACTGACACCCATATGAAATGCTGGCACTGCAGGCGGTGTCTTTACTTGCTATGTCACAGAACCAGCCCCAGAAATAGACAATTTGTAAAGTATTTGCCTTCTCAGCTTTTCTTTTTCTGACAGTTATCTTCTGAAAAACCCTGGGGCCTGCCTGTTGAAGAGATAGTATGTAGGCTGGTGCCATGGCTCACTAGGTTAATCCTCCGCCCGTGGCACTGGTATTCCAGGTGACAGTCTCAGTTGGGGTGCTGGTTCTGACCCAGTTGCTCCTTTTCCAGTCCAGCTCTCGGCTTTGGTCTGGGAAGGCAGTGGAGGATGGCCCAAGTTCTTGGGCCCTGCACCCACATGGGAGACCAGGAGGAAGTGCTTGTCTCCTAGCTTTGGATCAGCAAAGCATACTGGCCATAGCAGCCATTTGGGGGGTGAACCAATGGAAGGAAGGCATTTCTCTCTGTCTCTCTCTCTCTCACTAACTCAGCCTGTCAAAAAAAGAAAAGAAAGAGATAATATGTAGCCAAGATTCACCACAAACCCCAGACACTTAAGTGAAGCCTCAATCAGTTCCCCAAATGGCTGAACTCTCATTTCTGCTCCTGGACTGATCATAGGAACTGCCCAGCTGAGTACAGCCCAAAACACAGAGTCAGAACTGCAAATCAACTGGCTATTTGTTAAGCCATTGTGTTTTCTGATTTGTCCTACATCAAATGCTGATATATATCAGTAAGTATGGCAGAAAGTTGAATTACATGCAAACTACAATGCATACAACTTCAAAATTTCATTTGGAAGTTCCCATAAAACAGGGCCAGCATTGTCACATAGCAAGTAAACCTGCCGTCTGCAATACAAGCACCCCATATGAGCACTGGGTCATGTTCTGGCTCTTTGCTTTTGATCCAGCTTCCTGCTGATGGCCTGAGAAAAGCAATGGAAGATGATCCAAATACTTGGGCAAATGCTACCAATGTGGGAGATCCAGGTGAAGATCTTGGTTCCTGACCTCATTCTTTCCTGGCCCTGCTCAATGCAGCCATCTGTGATGTGAACAAGCAGAAGGGAGATCTCTCTGGGTCTCTCCTCTATATACAATACTTTCAAATAATTTTTTTAAAAAACTTAGAAAAAAGCTCCTATAAACACAATCTTTGCCTATCAATTAGACCTTAGAGGTTTCACCTCACCCTGGTTAGAATGGCTCACATACAGAAATCTACCAACAACAGATGCTGGAGAGGATGCAGGAAAAAAGGGACACTAACCCACTGTTGGTGGGAATGCAAACTGGTCAAGCCACTATGGAAGTCAGCCTGGAGATTCCTCAGAATCCTGAATATAACCCTACCATACAACCCAGCCATCCCACTCCTTGGAATTTACTCAAAGGAAATTAAATTGGCAAATAATAAAGATGTCTGCACCATAATGTTTATTGCAGCTCAATTCACAATAGTTAAGACCTGGAACCAACCCAAATGCTCATCAACAGTAGACTGGATAAAGAAATTATGGGACATGTACTCTATAGAATACTACACAGCAGTCAAAAACAATGAAATCTGGTCATTTGCAACAAAATGGAGGAATCTGGAAAACATCATGCTGAGTGAATTAAGCCAGTCCCAAAGGGACAAATAACATATATTCTCCCTGATCTGTGACAACTAACCAAGCACCTAAATGGAAGCCTGTTGAAGTGAAACGGACACTTTGAGAAACAGTGACTTGATCACCCCTTTTCCTAACTATTGATGAACAACTTAATACTTTATCCCTTTTAGTACTTTTTTGTTCTACTTAATACTTTGGTTGAACTCTTTAATTAACACACAATTATTCTTAGGTGTTTAACTTTAACTGAAAAGTGGTCCTTGTTAAATATAAGAGTGCGAATAAGAAAGGGAGGAGATGTACAATCTGGGATATGCTGAATCAGACTTGCCCCAAATGGTAGAGTTAAAACATGCCAGGGGATTCCAATTCAATCCCATCAAGGTGGCATGTACCAATGCCATGTCACTAGTCAAAGTGATCAATTTCAGTTCAAAATTGATCATAATGATAGGATTAAGAGTCAAAGGGATCACATAAGCAAGACTAGTATCTGCTAATATTAACTGATAGAATTAAAAAGGAGAGAACTATCCAACATAGGAAGCGGGATACACAGCAGACTCATAGAATGGCAGATGTCCTAAACAGCACTCTAGCCTCAGAATCAGCCCTTAAGGCATTTGGATCTGGCTGAAGAGCCCATGAGAGTATTTTAGGCATGGAAAGCCAAGACACACTGGAAAAAAAAATTAAAAAATAAGAAATAAAAGCCTAAATAAAAGATCCCTGTGAGTGATATCTCAATGGATAGAACAGGCCTTCAAAGAAGGAGCTACCTTTCTCTGAAGGCAGGAGAGAACTTCCACTTTGACTATGACCTTGTCTAAGTAAGATCGGAGTCGGTGAACTCAAAAGGCTTCCACAGCCTTGGCAACACATGACAAGAGCCTAGGGTGATTACTGATGCCATAAACAAGACTGTCAATAGTTAAATCAACAACAGGAGTCACCGTGCACTTACTCACCATGTAGGATTTCTGTACTTAATATGTTGTTCAATGTGAATTAATGCTATAACTAGTACTCAAACAGTACTTTACACTTTGTGTTTCTGTGTGGGTGCAAACTGTTGAAATCTTTACTTAATATATGCTAAATTGATCTTCTGTATATATAGATAATTGAAAATGAATCTAGATGTGAATGGAATGGGAGAAGGAGCCGGAGATGGGAGGGTTGCAGGTGGGAGGGAAGTTATGGGGGGGGGAAGCCATTGTAATCCAAAAGCTGTACTGCAGAAATTTATATTTATTAAATAAAAGTTAAAGAGAAAAAGAATACAGTGGGCAGAAGCATAGCCCAGGTACTAAGTATATAACAGACTAGATTTTAAAATGATGCTTGATCTTACCTATTAAAATAATTTGTGGACCATCAATGGATCATATTTTACAGTAAAATAGTAATAATTTGGTGCATTAATATGGCTGGAAAACAGGGTGAATGCCTTGTAAAGTCTTTGTGAATATTTAAAACTGCACTATCTAGAAATTCTTTACCCAAAACATCCTGAATTCATCTATCCATCACATCCAGTTATCTGTATATTTTTAACAAAGCTATATTTAAAAAAAAAAAAACTGCAGTTAAGTAGTGGTTTCTGACACAAATTAGGCAAGAGACAAATATTAGGGTGTCATGGAGCTCCTGCTTTTACTCCTCTTCTAGTCTAAATGAGAATTGCCATGAAATTATAGACAAACTCTTGAGGATTTGAGTGATGGTCTCATGGGCCATTGACTGTTGGCCCACAGCTACTGGTCATTTTTTCTATGTATAGTGTATGAATTGTGCCATGCAAATGCCTGTATCAGCACTTATCTGGTAATTGCCTTTCAGTGACTTCATTCTGCAAATTGAAGGACCTCAGTCTTGAACTTCAATCTTACATAACTTCACCTCAGACCCAGAATAAAATTATTACTTAGTTCCCAGCATCATACAATGCAAACAGAAAATGAAGTTGTAGGCATCAAACAAGAATAGTATCATGATATAGTGAATTCCCTTGTCCTTTCTAAAAATTATTGCTCCCCATAGTGGTAGCCACACACTTCTGACAGCAGGAGTTGCTGATTTTAGAATTATGCTGGAAAATTCTGTGGGGATTCCTGAGAAGAAAGTGGGAAGGCAGCACGCAACACTCAATTGTTGTTGATTGATCTTTTACAATTCATTGTTTTTATTTGACAGGTAGAGTTACAGACAGTAAAAGAGAGACAGAAAGGTCTTCCTTGTGCTGGTTCACTCCCCAAATGGCCACTGTCACCAGCGCTGCATTGATCCAAAGCCAGGAGCCTGGTGCATCTTCCTGGTCTCTCATGGGGGTACAGGGGCCCACGCACTTGGGCCATCCTCCACTGCCTTCCCTGGCCACAGCACAGAGCTGGACTGGAAGAGGAGTAACCAGGACTAGAACCTGGTGCCCATATGGGACACCAGTGCCACAGGTGGAGGATTAACCAAGTGAGCCATGGCACCAAACCCTAAATACACCTTCTGACCAGCATTTCTAATTTCAAGCACTTAGAAATAGGAGCTCTAACACTTGATTTTACTAAATCAATAATGAAAAATATAGTCCCTAAGATATAAAGAGAGTGAGGATCACAGACTGAAACTAATTCAGGATCCTACAAGGACTAAATTTGAGGTCAAGCTTGAGCTACTTATCACTAATAGAAGCAACCAGTGTTATCTGATCAAGTTTTACTAGATGGGAATGGTATCCCATATTTGTGCCAGTTTGTGTCCCAGTCTCTCCACTCCTGATCCAGCTCCCTGCTATTGAACCTGGGAAAATAGCAGCAAAAGATGGCCCAAGTGTGTGGGCCTCTGCCCACACCACAGTGCCAGCCCTAAGAAGTCTTAAAAACCTAAAGAAAGAAAATGTATAATATATCAACTATAGTTGTATATAGGTATAAATTTCTGAAAAGTACATAATTTCATTCTTTTAGTCATCTAAAACTTATTTGTAAATTATATAATTAAAAAAAGATAAAAAGACATTGATTCTTATGTCTCTTCAGCATAAGACATCAACTTTTCCAGGTTCTAGATGCACTTATTCACAGAGTTTCATAGAAGTAATCAGTAATGTGGCTCAAATAACAGTCTTACCCAGGGAATCCCCCTAAATTTAAACAGGGTGCTCAATACCATTTTAGAAAAGTTCCAAAATATGTATCAGAAGAAAAAAATTATTTATTTGGTACATCTCATTTTAACTATAGTATTACCTAAATTTCCAATAGTCAGATGTACTCAAAAAATCCCACAGGTGGGAGAGATGGCCTAACACAGCAAGTAATTATTAAAATATAAATGTTAAGCTACAACTTAACTAGGGAAAATAACACTCCACAGGTCCCAAACTAAAATAATTAAGATGACATAATAAAAGGAAACTCAATGTCTTCATGCATTAAAATGTATTACATTAAACTTAATAAACAAAAAGGTGATTATTCCAGCTGTTTCCCACTTGGCAGCCCAATTTTACCTGTTGAATCTGGAAAAAAAGTAAATGGCATCTCATGGTAGATTACTAAAATCTTAATGCTATAGGCCATCGATTATGTCCACCATACTTTATATCTAATATTAACATATCTGATGCTTCTTAGTAGATAAATGACCTGTCTTAACTATTACAAAAGTGGCAAATGTGTTTTTGCTCAAAGTTTTTCCAACAGCTCCTCAGTCTAGTTTGCCTTCACTTTGGAAAGACACTTTTTCTAGGGTATACATGAGCATCTCATTGACTTGGCCATCAAACATAATTTTTGCAAAGAATTTAACTGTACCCAGCTTTTATCAGGAGCACAAGAATATATCACATTGATGACTTCCTCCCTTCATGAGACTATTTGACACACTTGTGAAGAACATACAATGCTAATACCTTTTAGTCCTTCCTGGGTTTTGGTGTAATGCATGCCTCATTTAAAAAATTAATTGTCATGGATGCTACAAATCAGTCCAGCTTATATGGCCCCCCTTCCAATGAAAAGTCAAATTGAATACTGTGGGCACTATCCTTAGTGCTCTCAGTGACTTCTTCACTCGAGGAGATCATATGCCTTCTAAATTCTCTGGATCATTTGTGATATCCACTGCTTCTCAAGGGCTGTGATGCAAGGAATAACCTCTCTTGGAACCTTGCTATGTGCCAGTAAAATTAAATTAGATTTCTATTAATTGTGCTATACTGGAAAAATAGTCACCTACACAGCTTGAGCCTGTGATTCTCCAAACCTTGTTATCTAGT